AGGAGGTGAAGATGGATAAATGAGATGGTTTCTGATCTCTAGGACCTTAAAGTATAGTGGAGTTGATGTCCAGAGGTCCAAGCACAGATAGAAATATGGTTAGTCCACAAAGTCTAAAGTAGTTGGGGTTTGGAGATTCCAGCTAGCCAGAAAGGCAAGGGAAGGAGTGAAGTCCCAGGTGCATATATTGGAAGTTCCAAGCCAGCTTTACAGAAACAAGTAGAGAACAGAGACTAGACTAGAAGACACAAATCTGAGTTTGACAATTCAGAACAAACAGACGGATCCACGCAAAAGTAGAGCCAGACCCTGTGGTCTAGGACAGGGACCATCTTGTTCTTGTTCTAGTTTTCTGCATCCTTCTTTATTGGGGCTAGAAAGGGCTAGTAGCTGGGCTGCTCCTCAGAGAGGTCCTGGGCTCTGTGAGGTGCTGCTTGTTGGCTCTTACAGGAGCCCACACTGTCCAGTGGCTCTCAGAAAATCTCAATAAATCAATTTAAAAATACTTATTGCACATTGACCTTGTATATGACATTAGGTAACATGAAGCTGGTATCATGATATTGCTATTGTGATACCCTCTGGGGTTCACATTTTAAGAAGTACCACATGGAGGTTGCCGGCTCTAAAGTTGGTCATGTTGGTACATGCATGGATTCAAAAATAATTTTACAGAGCCCCTAAAAGGCACCAAGTCAAGCACTAAAACTAACGAGGGTGCATGAGACACTCTCGTTAGGGAGTTAAATCTAGTGAAGAAGACAGACATGTTACTCAAGATCTGGAGGGGTTAGCACCATGACCAAGGTGACCATACAGCCCATTTTGCTGGGATTAATCCCCACTTATGTCTGTCGTCCTGGAGTAAGTTGTAACAACACTCACCTTTCACCCTCAAAAGTGTTCTAGATTGAACAAAAAATTGTCTGGTAACTTTAGCAACCACAAACTCACTATCAGGATAGAGGTGGGATTGCCCAATCAGTCTGTGTGTAGTTGGAGGCTAAGGAAAGCAATGCAATATGCAACCTCACCCCGAAGAGGTGAACCCCAAACAATCTCCATACTAACCATTCACCTGTCAATTTCTCCACCCCCCTCTTCTAGGCCTTTTCTTCTTTTTGCCCTGCCTGGATACCTACCACAAGGTTGACCTTCGCCTCCAAACTTTGGAGATACCCTTTCATGAGGTAAGTCAAATGATGGATTTTGCTTTCTCTCTACGTTTTGTATGGCTGAGCTACCTATTCTGGTCCAAGTCAAAATGACTATTTAAGCTCAAAAGTCGAAGAGGAAAGTAGAGATATGGACTGTATCAAAATTAAAAACTCCTGTGTATCAAAGGACACAATCAAAAGAATAAACAGATAACCTATGGGTGGGAGAAAATATTTGCAAATAATACTTCTGATAAGGGATTAATACCCATGATATATAAAGAAATCTTACAACTCAACAAGAAAGCAAACAACTCACTTAAAAATGGGCAAAGGACTTTGTGATAGTTAATTTTATGTGTCAGCTTGGCTAGGCTAGCTTCCCCTTTTATCAGAGTGTATCCTTTCAAATTTTTCTATGTATGTGGTTATATTTACAGGCAGGTGTACATATCATACTATTTCATAACATGTCTTTTTTCCCTCAATACTCTGTTGGATCATGTTTTCATATATTAGCTATATTTCTACCCCTTTGTCTTATTTTTTTTCAAGATTTTATTTTTAAGTAATCTCTACACTCAACATGGGGCTTGAACTCACAACCCCGAGATCAAGAGTCGCCTGCTCTTCCCAATGAGCCCCCCAGGCGCCCTTTGTTTTAAATGGACACATAGCATTTCATTGTATGGATGTACCACAATTCACAATTCCCTGTTGTGAATATTAATTGATTTCTAATTTTTTATTATAATAAACAATACTATGAATGACATCCTTGCAGCTAAATCCTTAAAAATATGTCTTTGTGATAAGTGTCTAAAAATGGAAATGTTGAGAATGAGCAGCTTTTAGGTCTCTTGGTGTGTAGCACCAGTCTGCCCCCTAGTGGACACTCAGCAAACAACATATCAGAGCACTTGTTTCCCAGAACGTGCTTCTCCTTTAAGCACATTTTTTGGCATCGGTTTTTGTTTTTTTTTAAAGATTTTTGTTTTATTTATTCAATTGACAGAGATACAGAAAGAGAGAGAGCATGAGCAGAGGGAGAGGGAGAAGCAGGCTCCCTGCTGAGCCAGGAGCCTGATGTGGGGTTTGATCCCAGGACCCCAGGATCATGACCTGAGCGAAAGGCAGATGCTTAACCATCTGAGCCACCCAGGTGCCCCTTGGCATCAGTTTAAAAAGACCTGATATACAATTAACTGAATGTTTTTGTCTAAGAAAATTATTCCTGATATTTTTACAAAACTATTTACAACAGGATTCCTTTAAATTGTGAGTTCTTTAGTGTATTTCATAAAAACTCCAGAATCTTCAAAAACACATCTATTTCAAATAAAAGGGTGGGCCAACAACTCTTTTTTTTTTTTTCCTATAATCTTACTGAGAAAATTTCCCTTGAACACATTTAGCTTCTCTATCATCCCCCTGGAAAAAGAGCACTAAACTAAGTCCTGTTCGGGACGCCTGGGTGGCTCAGTCAATTAAGTGGCTGCCTTTGGCTCAGGTCATGATCCCAGGGTCCTGGGATCGAGTCCCACATTGGGCTCCCTGCTCAGTGGGGAGTCTGCTTCTCCTTCTGCCTCTGCCCCTACCCCTTCTTGTGCACTCTCTCTGTCTCTGATAAATAAATAAAAATCTTAAAAAAAAAAAAATCATGTTCTCCAAACTCTTTTTTCTGCCCAGGTTGTGACCAAAGACATGTTTATAATGGAGATGGATGCCATCTGCTACTATCGAATGGAAAATGCCTCTGTCCTCCTAAGCAGTCTTGCTCACGTGCCCAGAGCTGTCCAATTTCTTGTGCAGACCACCATGAAGCGTCTCCTAGCACACCGATCCCTCACTGAAATTCTTCTAGAGAGGAAGAGCATTGCCCAAGATATAAAGGTACTTCAACAAATTTATCATCTAATATGTTGAAATACCTCTTTCTCTTTTATTCATTTCTTCATCGGTCATTTATTGAAGCACATGCAATGGAAGCATCTGGCAGGCGTTCACTGTTGAAGGTACCATCCTTCAAGGAGCTGACAGCTGAGTGAGAGGTTGCCAGACTGACCCTGAGTCAACCAGGTGATGACTAGTCAGTCATTGCCACAGGTTCTGCCCTTTATCCCCCCACCCCAGTGGCTCTACACTCACTGGAACGTGCCCCCAGAGCCCAAAGAGAGCTGGCAGGGAGGATGGGGCCACGTGGGACACGTGGCTGGTCCCACAGACATGAGAAGGCATGGTTCCTGGGAGCTGACAGTCTAGCTGGGGAAACAGGCAAAGTTAGTTCAAATAAGACTTTCAGCTAAAAAGAAAATGTCACAGACCCTTACATGATTAATCTCCCAATCAATCACTGAGATTTAATTGATTGGGAATTAGGGAGGGAATCGAGGAGCAGGAAGTGCCTCACGGGCAGCCCCATCCAGCCGCCAGGCGGCAAGCTCAGCCTCCTCACCCTCGGCCACAGTGGCATCTTCCGTTCTTACCAAGACAATGTGGCAAAGGTATTGAGACGGGAGAACAAAGCCGGATTCCTGGCAGCTGGCCAAATGGCAGTTACCACCAGTCGGGGAGCCTGTCGTGGGGGCCACAGGCTCCCTGGCCCAGAATCGAGTCAGGAAGGTCGGAATGTTGTCTCGCCAAAAGGAGGACCTCCAGCAGAAGGGCCGGAGGACCAAAGGCATTTAGGTAGTGATTGTGCCTGATGGCGCCCGAGCACTCACTCATCTTCGCAGGTGACTTGTCCAGCTTGTTACTTATAAAACTGAGATTAGAGTCTTGGTGGAAAAGGGACAAATTCAGAAACAAAAGAACTAAAAAGAAACAAGAAATTAGAACAAGAGGGACACGGGCAGTTCCTGCTCTGGAAATTAAAAACCACTCCAGGGGCGCCTGGGTGGCTTAGTCATTGTGCGTCTGCCTTCGGCTCAGGTCATGATCCCAGGGTCCTGGGATCGAGCCC